CTCTCTCTCTCTCTCTCTCTCTCTCTCTCTCTCTCTCTCTCTCTCTCTCTCTCTCTATTATGGGGTCCTAAGGGGCCACATCTGCAGTGATGACCCCAGTTATTACACTGCCAATGTTTTCAGCTTAACCTGAAGACAGTGTGATCACATCATGGTTCAAACTGACTTGTCATACTGACTCAGTGCATCCAATGCAATTGGGCACTTTCAAATTGATATGGTGGTTTGATAGATTTTTCTGAATACATATTTGAATTTTGAATTAAATCAACTTGATTCAGTCATTTAAACCAATTATTTGAAGTGACAACTGGGATCAAACTGACTTGTCAAATCACATAGATAAATTGGACATTGTGCCCTCCCTAATAATTGATAGGATTCCCCATGAAATATGAGAATGCGTTTAGCAACAAAATCTGAAGTTAAAACTTGATCAGAACCTCAGGATGGATTTTTAATAATTTCCTTTCCCTTTGCTCTTGGCAGGGTGTTCCAGGTGACCAAGGCCCCCCAGGGCCTCCAGGGCCCCCAGGGCTTCCTGTGAGTACTTTCCTTTGCTTCATTTGTGGAGTTGCATCAGGATTCTCCAAAGGTTGGGTCCCTATTAACTGCTGGTTGTGTGCTTTTCTGGTTTCCAGGGCCCTCCTGGTGGCGTAAAAGGTGAAAAAGGTGAGCAAGGAGAACCAGGCAAAAGAGTAAGTAACTTCTTTGAACACAATATTTATCTTTCCAAACCATGTATAGCTTTGGGAGTTCAGGTTGGGCCACCAAATATGGGGTAAGACATTTTTCCTTTCTCCTATGATCTGTTAGAGTTGATATGGATGAAACCCTCCTGGATTAGGCAGCTGTTTTCCCTGAATGAGAAAGAAGCCATTGAAAAGGGCATGTATACAACACAGTCAATGCATGTTCACAAACAGACATCAACATTTAACTTTTCCAATCTGGATTAATTAATCCAGAGGATCTGGTTTTTGGAACAGACACTGAAAACTGCCTGCAAAAATAAAGATGTCATTTCTGCTTTCCAACCAGGGGGGACAAAGTGTTACCCTGCTCCCCTGGTTGCTCAGAAATTTGGACAAATAGATAAATACCTGTGTGTATTTGTCTTAACTCTGGAGTCCTCAACTGGCAATTATGTAAGCAGAAGTGACAAAGCAGGGTGATCCATCTTCTGATGGCTCTGGGAGCTCCATTTACCATTTTTGGGAGAAGCAAAAGCTACGTTAGATGGCATAAGAATGCAAAATGAATGGGACCAGAATAATGTTCCCCTCCAGGTTTTTCAGGAAGAAATTGACTTTTTCTTTTAACTTTGTTAAACCTACTGTAGGATTTGAACAATGGCTGTTGTGTTTTCTGCCTCAGAATAGTGGAGCTGAGGGCACTCTGTCCCATACTCTACCTGGTCCTTTTTTTCCAGTGTTTTGACCTTCCCTATGAAGGTTGTGTATATTGTGACTCTCCCCTTCTCTCCAACCACTCCGCCTGCCCCATATTTGAACTTTCAGTGGAAGGGCAGAAAGCCCTAAATACATAAACACCATTGGCTTGTCAATGACTTCAGGGGTCAGGGATTGGTAACACAACAATCAGTGACACCGTCACACCTATAAAATAGCAGATTTGTTAACTTCATAAGATTTCAGCCTTTTAATTTAATCCATCTGAGTGCCTGAAATTACAACCTCCCCCTTATCTAAGGAAAAGCAAGACTGTTGAGCAAAGAGCTTAAGAGAAAGTTCCAATCCTTGGGTCATCGTCATATTATAGAAAGAAAATAGTCTTTTTATGTGAGACCTTGCAACTGATGCAGATTTCTGTGAGAGGCTGTGTGACCCCATTTTATTTTGAAATTTCTTGAATGACTAATAACTTTGTTTTCCCCAAAGCTTGGAGTCCATTCCTGCTTTTGACTTGATACTTATACATCACTTTAAAATCATAAATGATCATTTGAAGAGGCACCGTATTAGAAAGAAAGAGGACCAAACAGCCCTCTTGCTTTCTTCTGAGGCTAAAGTAACTCTAAGAGCCAAGTTAGTTGGAATCAGATCTCATTAACCGTTCATGGAAAAGTAGGTAATAGGATCTCTAAACTAAGATAGAGCCATGGTTTTGAAGAAGATACCCATAAATGTTTGGGACAAGGGATCGACATCAGGAACATTAGCCTTGTCCCATGACTCCACATTAGTATTCTCATCCCCTAGTTGCTTTTTTGGGTTCTGTTTTTTAGGATACAATAACTGCTTGTGCTTTGTCCTCGTTCACTCTTAAATTGGCCTCCTGAAAGCTGGTGTCCTCCAGATATCTAGGGCTTTCAACCTTCAGAATTCACAGTCCTCATGTGATTGCAAGATTGGCAAAGGCTGTTCCAAGTTACACATTCATAAGCTTCATGTAGAGAGGAAGGAAGATGACCTTGAGGGAGATATGCAAGATCATATCTGAAGTCCACAACAAACAGATAGTGTAAGTGGCTCAGAGAGACACCTCCCTAGGGAGGCATAGCACAATCAGACTTGCAAGAGTGATGTCAACCCACTTGGTAGACCAGACCAAGAAATCTACTCCCCAATTCTATAATAACAGAATCTTACAAGCCTGATTGTGCTGTTCCTCCTCCCCCCCAAACTTTAATGAATTAGGGAGGCCTTGTCTGCACCACTTACAAACATTATCTGTTTGTTGTAGACTTGAATATTTTTCACCCCTTGTCACCCTAGTAACAGATCTTGTATATATCCACCAAGGTCATCTTCCTTATTTTCTATACTTCAGATGCCACATTAGTTCAGAACTCTGCATTCTCGATTCTCTGATAGAGTATTAACGTGCTGATCTATGGACTTCTAGATTCTATTTTCATTTCTGGTAGCCAGATCACCAGAATAGAAACTGGCAGGTGTGAAATGAAAGCTTACCAGATGATTCTTGAATCTTATGAATTGATTCCGATGTTTTTTTTTCACTGAAATGAAAAATTCACTAATTGACAACAGTCATGGTTTAATTCACTGAATTTCTCTCCCCCTCTTTATTTGAATTGTGACTATTGTACAAGTGAACCTCTGTTTTCCTATTGGATGCACATTTTTAATGAATTATAAGAAGGAGAAAATCCATTGCTGGTGAACTTTGTCACTATTCCAAAATTTTCTTTAAATTTAACAGAACCATCTAGGAATACAAAGAAGGGGCTGGAATGCTCTGACGTTGGAGTGCTCCGAATTGCTAGCCAGCTGCAGGGTAGAAATAAGAAAAAACAGTGTTTCCCACCCTTTGGGAGGAACAAAATCCATTCCACTGCATGCCAGGGGAGGGAATAGCTTCATGCTAGCATTTCCCATCCTTTTTTCAGCCTTGAAACTTGCTTTAACGGTTCTTGCTAACTCATGTGGACCAACTGCCTTGTTATATTGACCTAAACTCCCAGTCTTCAACCCTTGACTGCCAGGTCAGATGCCAGGTGAATCTTTCAGCTTTGTAATTCTTTAACACTGTTCTCTGTATTTCTGTTTCAAAGGGGAAGCCAGGAAAAGATGGGGAACCTGGATTGCCAGGTTTGAGTGTAAGTCTCTTGCATTTTTCCTTCATTTGGAAATGTCCTGATTTAACGCCCTTTCAGTATTTTGAGGATTGAGAGGTTTTGTTTTCAAATCCCCCTTCCTCAGGGTTTTCCCGGTGAACCTGGTACGTCTGGCTTGCCAGGAAGAGATGGAGAAAAAGTAAGTATTGCGATTCGGAATCTTTCTAGGAATATGTAAAGCCTTCCTGCGATTGGCTTTCTCGGGAATACAATTTTTAATATATCTGTTTTGTTGGCAGGGTCAAAAAGGAGAAGCTGGTTTGCCTGGACCACCTGGACGTGTAAGTCTTTGTCCTGTCTCTTGTACCTCCTTCTTTAAATTGCATTTCAGGCAGATTCTTCCCATTTTGATTATAATTTCTGTAGTTAACTTCTTTCAAAACTTTTTCATTTGCCATTATTAAATACTGCAATATTAAATACTTTTTTAAAAAAATGGCAATGCAACACATTCGCTCATGCCTTTTTCCTAATCGAGAATGGTATAGTATTTGCTTGCTTACTCATATTTTAAGGCTGTTGCGATGTTCATAAAGATGACCAGCTTAAAATGTTTAATATATTAAAAAGAATGTAGATTTTCATAAAAAATCAACAAAAGAGCCTTACTGGCTCATTTCCCCCATCTTTACAAACTGTAACATAGACACACACAGAAGGGATTAGAAACTTCTTATGAAACAAATCAAGAAAAGCGTATTGATTATTTCATCTTAAAGATTTCTCTAAATTGTTTTGTTTATCGAAAAAAAGGTGTATGGAAAACCTGAGACTTTCAAAAGATCAAGACAGGTCAAAACGTTTTGAAAAACAGAACTGGACAAACATCCCCTAATATGCATTACTTTCAACATTACTAAAAATATTATAAATCTCTGGATTTTTCAGATTTAACCTATTTTTTCCTCCCTTCTAACAATACGTTTCTAACTTATTATATTCTGCTAGAAGTTTTTAGAAATATTTTTTACGGCCATAGGAGCTCTCAGAATGATATATATTTAGTAAAATGGAGGCAAAACAAAATTTAAAAGAAACAAATACAAAACTAAAATCTATTAGAAACAGTAAATCCCCAGCAAAATATTACTATTTTAATATATGTTAAAAATGTGGTAAAAAGGATGCCCATTTCATCTCCCTCTGTACCGTTATTACAGAAAAGTGTTGCTTTCTTTTGGGTAATCTTTTATTCTTTGCTATAAATTGCCTATACTTGACAATCACCCCAGTGCCTTATTGTTTCACGTTCATGTTCTTTTGAAGCATTTTGGTAAATTAAAAGGAGCAAAAATTGATCTAGGAAAAGAAATCAGTGTTCCAAATAAATATGTAATAGTCACGTGTATCAGCAGTAGCTAAGTACAGAAGTGTGTCTCGAAAAGAAATATTGAATATATGTGAATGACATACATGGAGATGCCAAAATCAATCAATCAATCAATCAATCAATCAATCTGGGAACTCATTCTTTCTGTAACTATGAATGGAATTCACCTAATGGAATTGTGTCTTTAGATGTTATATTAGCTACTGACCAGTAGGAGGCACTACACAATTGATTTTCTCCTTATTTGAACTCTACTGGTCAGTAACTAATATAACAACTAAAGCTATGTAAGCTTTATAACTAAAGCTATATAATCCTATAATAATAAAATAATAATAAAGGGGAGGTGATCTTGAAGCCTTTAGCATGAGGTCCAGACCAAAAGAATCACAAAACTCTCTAGTGTGAGAGCGTCTAGGAGAAAGGAAGTCATACCTGGATAACTTCTATGGAACTGCATCTGCCAGTTTGCCTGTGTTCCAGTCCATCATATGCCCTGGTTGAATCCTACTCATATTTGCTTGAACATAAGAACTCTCTGCAAGATTATGCTGCTTTTTTGAGAGTTTCGATTGTTGGTGTAATGATACGTTCAGAGCATGAGTTTCAGCTGGAATAAATTCTCTATGGTTTATAAAGAGGCCATTAATAAAGGGTAAAAAAGCTGGAAAAGTTTCCACCTTAACAAGCAGAGAGATCAGTTGGGTTCTAATAGGAAAGCAAACCAGCTGCTGTGATGGTTGCAACTTATTTAATTCCCCTTTAATAAATATTGTTAAAGAAAACTCTGAGAAAATGTTGCTTTCATAAGTTGGTTGCCCAGAGCCTGACAACAGGGAGACTAATGTTCGACTTGAATTCAAGCTTTGAAAATCTTTTCAGACATTTGCATTTAATGTATCAAATTTGGGGGCTGGCGAAGTGGGGAAAAGCTCCATTTGGGGCAACAAGGAGGCAGCCTTCCTTACATGCAAGTAAATTCCTGCATGCTACAACTGATAGAATATTAAGAAGACTATAGATGAACATTGATTACTCTTTCCCATAGGCTAGCTGAAGTGCTGAGGATCAACCAGCTTGGTTTCATAACTCGTGGCTATGTTTTTGGAGTTGGGATAATGAAATAATGAAGTTCTTGGGGGCAAGATTCCAATGTAGTTTGGTAGAATCCCCATTTCTTTAACGTTCTGTATTTATATAACGTTCTTCCTTGCTCCTGGGGATATATCAGGTGATTCCAAGGCCAGGCCCTGGTACAACTGTCGGACCAAAAGGGAGCAAAGGTTTAGCAGGATATCCCGGAGAGAAAGGAGATCGTGGTTATCCTGGCCCCCAGGGCCCTCCTGGTTTTCCAGGCCCCCCAGGTAAGATAGTTCATCTTTTCCCTGTGTAGAGCTTCAGGACAGTAGCACATCTGACACGATCTTTCTCCCCAAAACTAACCCCCCCCCTTTATAATGCAGCAGAGATGAATGACTTCAATCCCTCTTGCTCTGATTCCATGGATATTTGGTTTTTCCCATGTCCTTAGCTGATGCCATTTGCGTTTTAAAAATGGTGCAGCCATAAAGTTTGCTCTTCTTGTCCCCCTCCTTCTCAGCCATCCTTCTTCCCGGAACTCTGGGCTGAGCAGAGAGACAAATTTAGCACTTCATGAGCGCAGCACCAAACTGGAACACCAAAACAAAGATGACCCAGATGGCCTAAGGTGTAACTTCAGAGATTTTTTAAAAAGCAGCCTCTAAGGCTCTTGTCTTAATTGGAGCAGCAATACTAGGAGAAAGAGAGTGTGTTTCTCTCAAGCTATTTTCCTGATCTAACTGTCCCACAGTTGCCACTTAGTA